ATTTAAAAAAATAAAACCATACCATTCAAGTATTACTGCACAGTATGGGGCTTTGCATGTTTCTGGGAGCATAAAAATGAAAGCCATCAATGAGTTTAGATAAACATCCAGATCAGATACTCTTCTAATTACACTCATGTTCTCCCAAAAATCACTCCAAGTGCAGTAATACAATACAACAACATGCAATTATAGGTCTCCTAAATGTCACAGTGCCTCCAGCACAGATCTGCCCCACTTGACATACTATGACAGGAGAGGTGTATCACCTCATCATGTTCTTCAACAGCGTCAGCAAGTTAACATGATAATTATTGCTATAAAGTTCTATTATACATTAAGACACTAATGGAATAAAATGGAACTCTTACAAAAAAAAGACAAAGATCTATGTTAAAAAAAAAAAATCGGGGCACTTGGGTGGTATGACTTACCAGGTCCCTGCAGTAAGTACCCATCATATACAAACACACCACAACAGCCTGTACCACCAGCACTGCCATCACACCTATTGGAATGTGTAAATCCCCTTAGGAGGTTTCAGATAGGATAATTTCTAGCTAAATAATTAACAAAACTGTGACACCCTGATGCCTATTAATTAGGCAGCCAATAGTCAGAAGGAAAATCAAATTGTGAAGTTAAGGCCAAAATAGCCAAATTTTGACTACAGGTGAGTTAGAAAACTTTTTTTTTTCAAATAAACTATTTTGGCCTAAATTGTACAATTGAAGTTTCAATTCAGTTTGCAAATCACTAATAAGTGAATCCCCTCCAACTGTTCATGAATCCTAATAATGCTGATCCTAAATTCTGAGATGGATCCCTTTTATGCCACCAATGACCACGTCTCTAATTGGCATCGTGTGACTCAGAACTGCCCGGCCCTACCGTGTGTTCTGTGCACATGTGGGGTTTATTGACTAAACAGAGAACTATGGTGACAAACATGCAGGCAAGAACAGCTGTCCAAACTGCAGTCACTGCTTAGATCAGGGCTGTCCAAACTGCGGCTCCCCAGATGTTGCTGAACTACAACTCCCATGATTCCCTGGCTATCTTTTTAATTGAAAGAATCATGGGAGTTGTAGTTCAGCAACATCTGGGAGGCCGCAGGTTGCACCCCCCTGGCTTAGATAATATATCAGGAATATTTATCAGAGATATGCAGATTTTAGGTCAAAATCAGCATGTAACATCACCCCAGCTCCAGTGTCAGTACAGAGCTGCAGGGAGCTGTGTAATCAGTGCACAGGCTGATCCCAGCAGCAATACACTGGACACCAGGGAGAAAAGTCTAAATAAAATAAAAATGGTTGAGTATATAAATGTGTGGGTACAGTGGCATCACTAGGTGTCAACTGGCGCGGTAACTCACGGTGTCACCTCGACCCTGACGTGCAGAGTACATGAATGTACCACAGACCTCCTCTGTGTTTTGAGTGTGATATATATAAGATGTGTGAGCTTGAGTGTCGGGGGCGGTTTATAAGTGTGATGTGTGTTGGATGTATGTGTGTTGGCTGAATGTGATTGCGTATGTTTTCTGTGTGGGGGGGTTTTGTGTTTGTAATTTAAAACGATTGTTAATTGAGAAATAGTTGTTGTTTTTAACAGTTGCTTCTTTTGCACGCTAATTATAATGTTTTCATGCATGCCATTTTCAGTGACAAAACAGATTTTAATTTTCAGAATACTTAAATATCCCTCACAGAGTCATACAAACACACACACACACACATTTATACAAACTCACATAGACAGACACATACACATGAATACGTAGTCAAAAAACACATACACACTCATGTAGCCACAGTCTCACCAGGGCTGTCTTTAATGCGGGGCAGCTGCCCCGGGCCCAGTTTCTCCTCTGGGCCCCCAGAGCAGCTGCCCAGTGGGCCCTGCGATTTGCGCAGCCCCCATGGACCGGCCGGTGCGGCTGCACAGAGCCGCACCGGCCCACACACTAAGGAGGACCCCTGGGTGGCCCATGCACTAAGGGCCACCCCGTGAGCATGTGTCAGCAGGAGCCCGGTCGGGCGTAAACAGTGCAACCGGGCCCCTTCCTGTTCGGTAGCTAGCTGGGATGAAGTGAGTGCAGCGCGTCACTTCCTCCCACCTGAGATCAGAGCTGCGCGGGAGGAGGAAGGCAGGGAGGAGGGGATTTCCAGAAGATAACTCCCAACTGCCTCAGCCTGCGAACTGTTCCCTAGGGAAACCACCCTCTAGAAAAAGGTAATGTATGTCAGTATGTCTGTGTGTGTGTCAGTATGTTTGAATGTGTGTCAGTATGTCTGCCAGTATATATTTGTGTCAGTGTGTATCTGCAAATGTTTTTATGTTTGTGTGTGTGTGTGTCAGTAAGTCTGTCAGTGTAATTGCAGGATTGGCGTAATTGGAAAAATGCTTTGCCCAGGGTCCTATTCATATTATAGACGACCCTGAGTCTCACACACAAACAAACATACTAAGGGCAACTTACTAAGGCGGACTTCACACCCCTAGGCCCAGTGGGACATGAACAGAGAAAAGGTCAGGCTGGGAGGAAGCATCTACCGCTCAATACCATCACACGAGAAAGAAGAGACCACAAGAATCTAGCCATGTGCACTGTGTAGTTTCTTTCTTCCTGCTGGTGGTGTCACCAATTGGAGGGTGCCACCCGGGTGAACTCTGCACCTCCTAATGACGCCACTGTGTGAGTATACGTATGTGAGCGTATGAAAGTCTGTGTTTTTTTTTGTAATTTCCCTCAGAAAAAGGTGATTGGGGCATTGCTGAGGAACCCAAATAAAAATCTACAGTTGGGAGGATGTGCCAATATACATTTCCTCCACAGGTGCTAGACAACCTAAGTATAACTCTGGCCAAAATAATAATGAATAATATTCTCAAAGTCTGCTAGCTTTTGAGCCCAGCCAATTTCCTCTTACAACAGTCCAGGCACCACACCTCACTGGAGTAGTTGTGCCAGGAATACCACACACGGTAAGTAGTAGCCCAACCTTTTTAAACAGTTTGACTTGTTACATGGAGTTCGCTGCTCCTGGCCTCCACTACGAATGCCAAAAAGCCAGAATTTCCGAAGTAGGAAGGTGCCTTTGATCTCTCGAGCTATGAAGTGCAGATTATAAACACATTGGCTGAAATCGTCAGCAGTGGTTATGGTGCATGGAGTGATCATGTGTAAGTTCTTGGTAAATTCCTGACACTTCCCAGTTTAGTGAGTAGTCCCGTTAACAGATCTCACTCCAGCAGCAGGGCTGAACTTTGTTTCTCTATGACCAGACAAGCATAAAACAGATTTAAGAAACAAAATTGTAATCACAGCTTGGGTAGTTTGGCAAACCTTGACCAAAGCTCCATAGACTTTCTTAAACATGCAACAAAAGTAGAATTTCCATTTACATTGTTATTTTGCACACAGATTTTTAATACTTCTGCATATTTTACAATCCAATCTCAGTTTTAATGTATTCGTTTTGCAAGGTTGTATTGAGAACAGTGTTCAATGACCGTGCCAAATGGGATGTTGAGGCATGGGCAAAATGTTTAAAGGAAATTTAACATTAAGAGTTTTTTGGGAGAAAAATATACATATAAAAAAATTGGGGGCAAAACTGAGGGAGTGCCATTGGAGACACTATTATAAAAATTGGATTTTTACCCACTCCTTCTCCCCCCCCCATTCATTCCATCTGAGGAAAGTCATTTAGAGTCTGTTCCCGAATCAATTTTTTGTGCTCTCAAAACTCAAAAAACATGAACCAATCACAGTGCATTATCAGTCTGTGTAAATAAGATAGAGTATTAAATTACAATTTAGTTGCATGTATTGTTATCAGCAACTAGAATTCTTATAAACAGCTGACTGGTAAGCAGTTATAAAGAATGAAAAAAAAAAAAACCAAGAACTGGTAAGGGAGAGCGAAGCACCACACCTCTAAATTATGTTTGAGAAACGAATGATCACGTAAGCTCTGTATGGTAAGTGGATATACCAAACAAAATATGCATGCAATACTGTTTTCCTTGGGTGTATTTTGAATCTATACTTGCAATAGCTGCAGATCTAATATCGGCAGCTACTGACCAGCATAGGCTTTCTGTGGCTGTCCAATCATTCTGAGAGTGATCAGTTTCCTGAGTAGTATTTTCCAGGGCACTTGCCTGCCTTAGTTAAAGGACCACTAGAGGCACCCAGACCACTTCAGCTTAAGGAAGTGGTCTGCGTGCCAGGTTTAACCTTTTTTCTATAAACATAGCAGTTTCAGAGAAACTGTTTATAAATGATTAATTCAGCCTCTAGTGGTTCTCATTGACAGCCGCTAGAGGGCTTCTGCGCTTCTCACTGAAAAGCAGTGAGAAGACGCCAGCGTCCATAGGAAAGCATTGTGAATGCTTTCCTATGGACTGGCTGAATGCGCGCACGGCTCCTGCCACACATGCAGCCAAAGAGGAGGAGAGCTCCCTGCCCGGCGCTGGAGAAAGAAAGAGGTAAGTTTAACCCCTTCCTCCCCCCAGAGCCTTGGCGGGAGGGGGACCCTGAGGGTGGGGGCACCCTCAGGGCACTATGGTGGTCCTTTAAGCTAAACTACCAGGAAGTAATGTGTCAGACAGCCCAGGAGCTAGAAAAGGTTGGTTTAGAGGGTTTTTGTATTTAGTGGATCCGCCCAAATTGAGCGAAAACCAGGCATCACTAAAGCGAAAGAGCCACAAGGCCCAGAAAGACAGTACCGAATCTTTCACTCTTTACATGCACCAAGCGAGGACTACCTATATAACAGTCAGATGGATCAACACACAAGGGGAAACCATAAAATAACTATATGGCAACTAATTTAGACAGGTTGCCCCGAGATGGGTAGTCTTCTCCACCAAGTGGATGAATTAATTCTTCTAGCCTTACAGAGCCTTCAGGTTTAGAAGAGATCTGACATGAACAACAAGACAAAACCCATGTCAAGAGAAGATTTATTTTCATGAGACAGTTTGTTTTAGGAGAGACTTAGTTCACGTCTTTTGGGGTGGAAGGTATCTTCTCCAATCCTGCAAAGAGAAAAAAAAAAAAAAATAATCATTATGAAGTATTTAGGATGTCCAATGCATAAATCAAAAACCGTTTGTAGCAAGATGAAGTCTATTAAAAGAAGCCACAGCAGTATAGAGAATGTAATCTGAAGGAGACAAATGCAATGGATTTATAAACAGAGGCAAAGAGACAAGGTGGCTTCTGTTGGGAGGAAGGTGTAGAGCAGCGACTTGCAGACTGGAAGTTATAAAATTGCAAAAGGCTTTTAGTCTGACAGAAGTTCATAAGACATTACCTAGTTGCCATCCAGTTTTTGTCTTCTGTGTCAACCTGTGACCTCAGTAGCCACATTGTTCTAATGACAGGAGTCTTCAGTCCCTGGAAACACTGGCCAGCCCAAGTACTGACTGAGCCTGCAGAAAAGGAACATGCACATTATCAGGAGGAATGTGCAAAGGGCTGGTGCTGTAGTATTTCTTTAAATTAGTACCACATGTAGAAAGCATGTTTACACCATTTGAGTTGCTCAATTTATGAATTTACACATTCTAGCATATATTTAGAATGTTTACAAGAATCAAGTCAAGTAAGTTAGCCTAAAATACATGACTTACCTCCACTCCAGGTGACTGACATTGCAAGTGTTGGTTGCATACCACTTCCCAGGACTCCTGACACTTTCCCAATCATGTTTTCCCCTGCAGCCCCTGGGGAGGACTCTACAGAGGACTTAAAGAAACCTCTGAGATGGGAACCTTCATCAACTGAGAGGGTGAGCATAGAACCCAGGGAGTTCATCCAAACGCCAGATACATTACAGCGCTCTTTGTGCTGCTGAGAAAGGAGACACATGGTTAGCTTGCAGTGAACATATATTTAAAAAAAAAAAAAGAAAAAACACACACACAAGCTAATTTTGTATTAGAGCATGGGTCGTCAACCTGGTCCCTACCAGGGCAGTAGGGATTTTGGCAGCTAAATGCTCCGTTTGAGAGAGTGGGTGGCAGGGCCGGACTGGGCTCACAGTCCTAATGATCATTCTGAAAAAAAAATCCTCCCCTCGGACTGTGCCAGCCTGTCAATCTGAGGGGAGGGGGGGGAGGGAGGAGCTGGGGCCTGGTGAGGCTGCCAGCGGCCGCAGGGAGACCTGTCAGTCTCCCTGCACAGTCTGAAACGATTTCGGCTGCATACCCCGTCCCCAGATGGAAGCCCTGCCTCCCGCCCACAAGCTCCACCCCCATGCACGTTGCTGGAAAGCTGCCCACCGGACCAAGAGGACACTGAAAAGTTATTTACCTTTTTACAGCCCCCTATCCACCATTCAGACACCCCCACCTCACAGACAGCCCCCCTGCCCACCTTACTTTTGTACATTGCACTAAGATAAAAGAAGAGCATTAAAAATAAATAAATAAATGAGGGAAGGAAAATAGAAAAAAAAAAAAGGGATAAAATAAAAAGGAGCAGAGTACTTTTAGCATTGGAGAAAGGAGCATGGAGTT